GGGGAGTTGGAAAATGAGCCTATTTTCAAAAATAGTGGAGTGTTCCTTTAATGTTAGGAAAGAATTGACTGGTCTGTACACACCATTGGTCGTTTCTATCCCCCTAGTAATAAACATTTATTCATTGTATTTACTTTCAGGTCTACAAAGTTTGTGCAACAATCTGCAAACTAAACCTACCAACAACTATAAAGGCCTGGGATGGATACTATGAAATTCAAGAATGTTCTATCCAAGATTGATCTGGACAGATTATAGTTACACTTTGGGAAATGCACATCTCCCAACTTGAACTAGATAAATCCTACACTTTCAAAAGTCTTAAAACTAGACAAATCCAAAAACATTAAGAAGCTCACAACAACTCCCAGCACAACCATAGAACTCATTCAACAAGATGAAGTCTTTCCACCTGGTCAGGGCCATCAAATCATTGAGGAGCCCCCTACCCCAACTACAGTTATAACAGTAAAAACAACAGGGGCCCAAATAAGCATAAAAATGGTGTCCAAAATGCCACAAAGCTCAGGAAAACTTCAGTGTGAAACAAGTGTCACACTTGTAAAATTCTGCGCAAAACGTACAACTATATAACAAAATGCAATGCCATTATAGAACTCGAACAAGACTGTCGCATAATTACCCTTACAATTTCAAACCCCATTCTTGCAAAATTCATATCGCAGGACCTTAACTTGTCTACCTGTGACTCTCAAGACGTGCTCACAATCACTTACAATGATTGTTTAGAAATCAATGTAGAAAAAACTTCTTCAGCTCATCCCAGCGACATCGATGGGCTGCCAATGTTCAAAAGCTCAAACGTATCTCTCTGGCCAGTTCTCTGTTCCAAAAACTTGTCACCAGAATGTATTTTCCCCCTGTGCATATCCACTGCTGCTTCCAAACCCAAAACACCAAACTTTGCCTCTGACACTGTTTAGCAGTTGGCAGAACTAATCCAGGATGGTCTGACTTGGGGAGGCAGACGCTTAAACATCCAATTACGATGTGTTACCTGCGATGCTCCAGCTAAGGTAGTGTAAAAAGCAGTTTTCTGGATACTATAGGTGTGATAAATGCGATCAAAGCGGATCTTGGGATGGTCGAATGATATATCCAGAAACAAATAACCTGACCATGAGAACAGATCTGTCATTCAGGGAATGCTGGCAACCTAAACACCATCAAGAAGAGGAGATCTCACCCTTCTCTGTCCTCCCGATCAACATGATCAAATCCTTCCCCATAGATTATATGCACCAGAGCTGTCTCGGTGTAATGAAAAAGTTGCTGCTCTTGTGGACAAGGGTGAGAACAGATTTCTGGAAGTCATCAGGAGATGTGACCCGTGTAAGTGACACTAAAGAAGTCCATTCCAGATTGCTTTGCCAGGAAGCCAAGGGGCTTGCAGATAAATAGACTGCTGGAAAGTAACAGTTCAGACAGTTTGCTATCTACACGGGGAAGATTGTTCTGAAGGGATTGCTCCAAGACCAGCTCTATGAACACTTCTTGAGCTTCAGCACGGCTCTTTGCATTTCGGTGAACCCAGATCTCACAAAGTCACAAGGACCTTATGCAAACCAGCAGTGGAGATATTTTGTGGAGAGAGGACGGGAGCTGTATGGAGGAGACATTTTGGTTTACAATGTCCATTCCTTGCTGCACCTTGCAGAAGATGCCCAAAACCTTAGCAGCCTTGACAGCTGCAGTGCTTTCAAGTCTGAGAGCCATCTTCATCAAATGAAAAAACTGGTCCAATCTAGGAAAAATGTTTTGGCACAAAGTTCCAAATCATCTGGAGGACACATCCAAGTCCAAGATAGAAATCAAGGAAAACGATGTGTCCAAACAATGCCTTGAACAGTGTTGCGAGGTGGTGTCAGGACAAGCGGACGACAGTGTTATGCAGGATGTACACAAATCTACAGCCATATCTGACGACACCATATGATTCACGTGTCTATGGAACATACATGGATGGTGGTTATATCTGCACGACCTAAAGAAAGGAAACTCGCTGATGGCTTAAGGTGCACACTGCAATCAGTTACTTACTTAATGTAGAAGTATAATATAGGATTGTTTACTATGTGGACAAAACGATAGTTCACATTAAAGCAAGAGGAGCCCCTACCAAGTATTGAGTACATGTACAGTATATGAACATACTTTCCAGAAGGCCAACATTTCACTAAAAATGTTTTTTTTATTGGTCTTATTAAGTATTCTAATTTGTTGAGATAGTTAATTGGTGGGTTTTTGTTAAATGTGAGCCAAAATCATCACAATTAAAAGAACCAAAGACTTAAACTACTTCAGTCTGTGTGCATTGAATTTATTTAATACACGAGTTTCACAATTTGAGTTGAATTATTGAAATAAATGAACTTTTCCACGACATTCTAATTTATTGGGATGCACCTGTACTTTCTTTAACACAAAAACATATATGTTATGATAATGGTGACTGAGCCTGTAAATATGTGCAACTTATTTTTCAATATTATTTTTCATTTTCAGGAGTACCTTGTATAAAGGTGTTACCAGCGACCTGCCTGACCTCTCAGTCCTGCAAGTGGCAGAGGTGTATAAGGACTTTACCAGCACGACAACCCCTTTAGTCACCACAATGGGAATGTCCAGTGATGATTCGTTGGTGGATTCTGCTTTCGGTAAAGTTCAGGCTGGGAGTGTTCTGTCATACCAACAGCCAGCAACATTACTCCCCATCAAGATGCCCCACCACGACCACCTCTGCCACTCGATGGTTACAACCTTGACCCATCTGTGTGCTTATTTGTACATAGCAAACATGGACTGCTGCACGTGAAGTCACTGGTAGTATCTCTGGAAACAGCACACAAGATTGAGCATGCCACCAAAGACCAGAGTGCATCGATGGATTGGCACTCCGTTAGAAAGCCACGAGTAACATCATCCCGATTTAGAGAGGTTTGCCATGTACGGGGGCAGAGCTCTGCTGAACACTTGGCTGAAAGAATCTACAAGGGAACTCGCCAGACAGCAGACATGAAGAGAGGCCTTGAACTGGAATCTGCAGCGGTGGAGGAATACTGTCTGTTGCGCGGAGTGAACTTCTTTATATTTATATTTATTTGTTATTTATATTTACATGTTTACAGAAACACTATCAAAGTTACTTATATTTACATGTTTACTTATATTTACACGTTTACAGAAACACTATCAAAGTTACTTATATTTACATGTTTACAGAAACACTATCAAAGTTACTTATATTTACATGTTTACAGAAACACTATCGAAGTTATTTATATTTACATGTTTACAGAAACGTTGTATCAAAGTTATTTATATTTACATGTTTACAGAAACACTATTTAAGGTGCTTTAAATATTTACATGAAAATGAGATATGAAAATATGAAATATGAAGATTCTGTCATCATTTACTCACCCTCCACTTGTTCCAAACCTGTATGAGTTTCTTTCTTCTGTTGAACACCAACGACGATATTTAGAAAAATGTTAGTATCCGAACAGTTGATGGGCACCATTGACTTCCAATGTATTTTTTTTAGGGAGTCGATGGCTCGATCAAATCATCACTCTTGAAGTGACGACTGCAGACTCTTGTGTTAGGAGTGGTATTAAAATCCTCACGTCAGATATAGTGAATCCATTTTTTACGTGTTTCCTTGTCCAAAGGGAAAGTATGGAAACTAACCACAGAATTAAACCTCGAGGATGTGTCACATAACGAGACACAGCACGTTGCACCTTCACATCGAAGGCACTTTTTAAAGCTTCTTGACCTCATTAATAAAACGTTATATTTTAATATAATATACTAAAATGTTATGTTACTACAGTTATTAAAATACATAATATAAAATTATTTGTAATTGCTAGTTAATCAAAATTTGACAAAGACCACGCTATTACATAATGTACATAGTTAAACACACCTAATATAAAGTGGGACCTTGTTTTGTAATATAATACTAAAACTATTGTATACATCTCAAGACATTTGAAGTCTAATACAGTAAAATATATGATGTTTGAGAGTGGAGACAGACTTAGTTTTTCTTTAGCTTACGGCTATTTTTTTTATCATTTATCATCAGTTTATGGCTATAAAAAAGAGATTCAAATAATGTCAATAATTGTTGAAAGATTATTAAGATATAATAAATCTCATCAATCATAAATTTTAGACATTTCATACTTTTAGGTGTTTTTAGACTTGCATGAACTTTATATGTCCACATTTTAAAAACGAGAAAAACTAACTTTTTTGCATTTTAGTACTTGCACAAGAATGACATTTTATTTATAAACTCGTACACCCTTTTTAAAAATCACATTTGTGACCATGTCCCACAAAACCAGTCATAAGGGTCAAATAAATAATCTTTCCATTGATGTATGGTTTGTTAGGATAGGACAATATTTGGTCGAGATACAACTATTTGAAAATCTGAGGGTGCAAAAAAATCAAAATATTGAGAAAATCATCTTTAAAATGAAGTTCTTAGCAATGCATATTACTAATAAAAAATTAAGTTTTGATATATTTACGGTAGGAGATTTACAAAATATCTTCATGGAACATGATCTTTACTTAATATCCTAATGATTTTTGGCATACAAGAAAAATGTATAATTTTGACCCATACAATGTATTGTTGGCTATTGCTACAAATATACCCCAGCGACTTAACACTGCTTTTGTGCTGCAGGGTCACAAATATTCACATTTGCATTTTAATCTAATTTATACCTGGTAAGAAATGGCTTCTTCACCTAAACATTACAGTTTTTCCTTTTAGACAAAATCTCACACTCTAGTAGTTTCCTAATTTTCAGCACATAATTGGACAACATACAATGAAATACGTTTTTCACCGATACATTAAACTCTTGAGTTTCTGTCAACTCGTTTATCAAGTGTATATCATGTTCTATGTACATTTCTGTTCATTTTAGACAGCAGCGTGTCAACAGGACTTTTATTTTGGTGTGGTGATGTGACGTCATAAGGCTGCGCCGCGCTCTCGCACATGTTGTGATTCGACTGAAGAAAGGTTTGTGTTTAACGTGTAGAAACCGTTCGATCAACTCTAAAGTTTTATAAACGGTGTAGAATTGAATGTTTATTATTGACTGTAGCTTAATTGACTGCAACTTAATACTTTATCTAAAACGTATATATTTATAAAGGTTATTTTAGTGAGTGAAGCGCATCCACACACGACTAACACAAACGTTGTGTCGCATTGCACTCCGTGTATCGTGAATCCGTTTATCATAAACATGAATTCAGTCGCTGGCTTTTTAAACTCCGAGTCAGTTGAATTAAATGATTAAACAAGCTGGTCGAAACCGTTAATTCAAAAGAAAATATTTCCATTAAAGTGCAGTCTGTTAAATGTGATCAGCAAGTAATTAGATGCCAAATATCATAAAGTCGTAAATACATTAATGGTAACTTTGATTATAAGTTCATTCATTAATTAGTACTAGTTTTGAGTGTTTTTTTTTTTTGTCTAGCTCATTTAGGAGTATGTATACTTTTTATTATGTACACAATTTTTATTATTTATAATTATTATTAGTCTTTTTGTTTTGTTTTTTGACAGTTCTGCAGCTGTTGCCTAGATGATGAATTTTTTTAAAAATTCATTTGATTAAATAAGGACTACATTATGTAATTGTCCCATTTTTATCTAAATAACTTTTTTTTTTTACTTTTTTTAAATGCCAAACTTTATATGACTATATGATTATTTCCTATGTATATATGATTAATATAAATGATAAATTAATAAATAGGGCCTCACATTAATTATAATCTATTAATTCATCCTTCTAATAATGTCTAAAAATATGTCTACCGAGCTCTGATAATGTATGGAATATTATATTATCAGACTATCCAAATTTTAATAAAACAATAGGCCTATACCTTTAGAAGCACGGATGTGTCCGTCACCTTAAAGGGATAGTTCACCCCAAAATGAAAATTCTGTCATGTAGTAAAGCTCAGGTGCTTATCTATAGAAGAATTAACCAGATTTATTATGGAGGAAGAAGGGTACACGACCTGCTCTTTATGGAAAACGGATCACTTTATTGACAGTTTCATTCGAAAAAGGGAAGCGTTGTTTAAATAAACATCTGAATACATGCAACAACCATTTACTCTGTACGTCCTCGCCAGAACAAACGACGACAGACAGAGGGTTGTGGATAGAAACTTTAAAACTTATAGATGCAACATTCACACAACAGACAAAAGGGAATTAAAATTTAAAACACTTCCCCCTTTCCTTTTCTTGATGTTTTAAAACCCGCGCAGGTTTAGCGCATGCGGAGCTCGTGTGAAAAGGCCTTTGCGGCGCGCGTTCTCGAAACTCTGTCGCTATGGAAACAAAGATGCCAAAATGCAATCACGCGCAAATTAGCTCCTCTAATAGTTCTTATGAAATTGATTTAATTATACTTGCTATTAGTATTACGCACACTGCAGAATCATTATTTGCTGATTCAACTATGGACAAACTGAGTTGGACAAAAAAGTTGAACAAATCGCAATTGCTTTGTAATGCTTCATGCTTCGTAAACCGTATTGCTTTGATATGGGATGCATCATTTTACCTTTAAATACGTAGTATTTTATAGTATTTCAAGGGATGGGTGGCAACCCTACAGCTGATTTAGTTTAAATTTATTTTTCTTTCTGTTATTCTCATCTTAAACAGGACAGAGTGTCCAAACACACAGAAAAACTCCCGCCGAAGCGACTGAGACACACGGTTATAAAGATGGCGTTTATTGAAGAGGAGAGTGAAGACATTAGGATTAAAGATGTATTCAGCATGAAACAAGAAGATCCTGAGACACAAACAAAGATGGTGTTTATTAAAGAGGAGAGTGAAGACATTAGGATTAAAGATGTATTCAGCATGAAACAAGAAGATCCTGAGACACAAACAAAGATGGTGTTTATTAAAGAGGAGAGTGAAGACATGAAAACCGAAGATGTGTCCACATATGAAGATAGTGAGACACAAACGTTTATTAGAGAGGAGAATGAAGACACAAAGAATAAAAAAGCATTCAGAGTCAAACATGAAGATGCTGAGACACAAACAGGTTGGTGTTTATTCTCAAAGCTGAACTCACTCATCTGAGCCTTATTCAGATGTCCAGCTCTACAGAAATGAAAGATATTTGTGAAGAATGTCATATAAGTGTCCTAATTAAAGTGGTTTTATTTGACACGGAGCGGGTCGACGCATGTGGACAGACATGTTGAGATCACATGACCAGACAAACACTAATGCTGGCTGTCGGTCCATGTTGGTCATTCGTTATTACGACACGTCACACATTAAATTAATAAATAATGCAGAAGTTGCTTAACCAAAAAATTATTTTGTGTAACATTAAACCCAATATCTACTTTTGAATTGAAAACGATGAAAACCATTCATTTCTATCAATTAATTATGCGACAGTATTTAACAAAAACATTTATTTTGCGTAAGGTGAACTCTGAAATGTGGGTAATCAACTTTACATTTGGTAGAGTTACTGCTGCTGTCCGCAATTGTTCTTCATTTAAAGGGCTTTGATGAGCAAATAAAACCACCGTTGGACACTAATTTTATAACAAACTTATTTTTTTATCAAACATCTGTTTGCTCAAGCTCAGTTGTAAATGTAGCATCATAAGTTGATCTAGGATGGGTGTTTCTTCTCCTGGGGCCTGATGTATAAAATGGGCATATGGGGAATTACAAAATAAACTAGGCATAAATATGTACAGACACTTTAGACCTTGCTTATGCACTCTTTTAGTGGAGTGACTGAAGCACTGAAGTAAACTTGATTTAAGCTGTTTTACATCTGATATACACTTTTAGATGAAATATGTCACTCCGCACTCAAATGACATGAAATCATTATCCAGAAGTTACAACTTTTTTTATATGCATTTAAAGAGAAATATTTGTAGTGGATGCACTTTTCCTGCGGCATTCTGTGTTTTCATGTTTTAACTAGCGAGGATTGCTTGGCACATGATGATTCCATTATAAATTGTTTTCTACATCGAAAATATTATCAATCATGCACTCTTGACTCTAGACGGTATAATGACAGACACCAAAGGACTCGCTCGGTGATGGATCGGTCCATTGGCCGCTTTGAATAAGAGGCTCACACTGTACTGTACAGGGCTCGCAAAATGTCAAAATCCCTGGTAGCGCTTCGGGCTGGCACTGTTGAGATTTTGGTAACCTGAAAAGAATTTAACTAGCCCAAAAAATAAAAATAAAAAGGCAATTTTTTATGTCGAAAATTGGACAGGAGTCGAAACATAAGTCAAAAACAAAAACACAATGCGGCCACGCTGTAGTTTTAGTTCATTATCCACCATGATGTGCAGCTTTTCGTTATCCAGATCTTTCGGCCATTTTTCTCTGGAGAGGTGAAATTTTTAAGGAGTTTCAACCGATCGCAGAAAGAATTGGGGTAACACTTTATAATAACTTTCATTAATAAATCATTAACAAACATTATATAATGTTTAACTAATCATTACTTAATATATATTCACATATCTAGAAATATGAGATAATGTGCTTGTTAATGTTAACTAATGAAGTTATTAAACATTACCAAATGATTAACAGATCATTATTTAATGTAAATTGAATGCTTACAAATGTCATTAAACTTTCAATTCATATCATGCATTTTTTTTTTTATCTTCAAATGATTTTGACAGATGGTTTACAATGATTAAAAGCTGTGTAGACTTCTACTATTTGCACATCTTAAATCATTTAATAATCATTTGTTCATGTTTTTGCAGTACCCAATCTAAAGTGGAGACTATTCATCATTTGTAAATGTTTATAAACATTTACTAATTTTTTAGTATCTTTATTGGCATTGGACTTTTAGCTACTTTAACAACGTTTGTGTAAAGGGTGGTTAGTTAAGTTTAGCTAAATGTTTGGTGAAGACATTACCCACATTGTAATTTGGCAGTTACGGCAGCGTGGAATATGAACGTGCATGAGTTATTTTATTTAGTCGGTGTTATTTTAATGTTTCGGGTTTTTTACCTAAAACATAGAGACTCTGATGTTGATGTGTCTGCATTCAAGCATTTCAGTGGGCTTAAATAGATCACCCTTTACAGCAGATTTAGTTCACAAACTGACAGTTTTGACCTAAATATGATTTTCAGTTACAATAATTAATCCTAAAATTCGACATTAGTAACTTACTTTTAGCAGCATCAGTCTCGCGCACTCACAAGATTTGGGTGCAAAACATGTTTTAATCTCCTCAACACTTATATTAGTATAATATTGTGAATCGTTAAACAGAATATTCCTTGAATATGGG